CTACCTGAAACAAACAAAAACCACCCAGCAATTCAAGTCAATCGGGATATTACACAAGAGGGGAAAGGGGGCATTATGTCAAGAAAAGTCTCATATCTTTAGGGCATACCTGAATGTCAAGATAGGGAAATACACTACAAAGACCAATTAGAGCCAGAAACGTCCCCCAAACACTACTTTGGGCCAATCAAGATAGGAACTATAAAACTAGTGACTATCCCAGACTGCTTTCTCAGTGTCATAGCTACAACTATCCAGTTGCTTAGAACGAAGCTTAGCAAAGAGGGAGAGTAGGCACAACTCTGTGGGATTTTTTCTTATGGGATATTACAGAGCCAAAATTCTGAATTCTTCTAGTCTACTCATTACAGGGAATTGCGCTAATGTTTTCAAAACCTCCTGTTTATACTGTGGTTTCCAAAACTAAAATGACAAATCAATTTTAATCACTTCCACAATTCTAGCTTAATTTTTCATGAAACCTTTCAACCGTAGCATTCAAAATTCTTTCTCAACACACACACACACACACACTACAAGCATGTCATAAAAACTCAAAAACATGCACATGCCTACTGACATCGTTTTTATTTGTATTCTTTTCATTCTGTCTTGTCCACGGAAATGCATAGCCAAGTGTCTACCCTTTGTTGTAGTTGTATAGTTGTGTATGACTCTTGGTGACCCCATGAGCCATAGCACCCCAGACCCTTCTGTCCTCCACTATCTCCCAAAGCTTGTAATACTGTCCATGCGGTTTTCTTGGCAAAGACACTGGAGTGGTTTGCCATTTCATTCTCCATTAGATCACCTTTTATCAGAACTCTGCACTGGGACCCGTCCATCCTGGGTAACTTCACACAGCATAGCTCATAGTTTCATTGAGTTACCTATCCTTACTCTCTAGCAAAACTGTAACAGTCCCCTTTCATGAAGATGAACTTCTTTTACACATATTCCAAAAGTCCAATAAGCTTGGGATCTATAAACCTTAGTAATAATGTGCTCTAGCAAATGGTAACTGATAACTCACTTTCACAAGGTTTTGAAAACAGGTGTGTAAATTTAATAAGCATACAGAATTAAAATACACATTGATCACAATGGAGGAATTTTAGCTCAAATACAAATATGCAACACACACACAGAATACTGAGGACTCTAGAAAAATGGGACAGAGCAGTAAAGATATCTTTCCCATGATCTTGTTGGACTGTAGCTGAAAAATGCATGAGAGTCCCTGAACAACTCAGAAAAAGTGAGGCAGAGTCAAAAATATGCCTGATAAGCTCCTCTCTTAGAAAAGAAGGAAAAATTGCCCTAAACTGAAAAAAAAAAAAAACCAAGCAAGGAGAAAAAAACCTGGCCCTTTCATCCCTTTTCAGTCTTCTTACACCTTACTCAACAGTCAACATATTCTACAATCAAATTACACTGGCCTCCCTGGTGTTCCTCACATAAGATACTCCATCCAATTCCAGGCAATTTCACTGGCTGTCTCCCATGGTCTCCTTCCTCACCTCCACCTCCTGGTTTCCTTTGGGTCTCAGCTAAAATTCAAGAAGCCTTTCCTGGTCTCCTTTAATGTCAGTGCCTTCCTCTGTGATTATCTCCAATTTATTCTATACATACTGCTAATATGTAGTTGTTTGAATGTTGTTTCCTCCCATTAGATTGTAAGCTCCTTGAAGACAGGGACTGTTGTCTTTCTTTCTATCCCCAGATATTGGCATAATGCTTAGTACACAGTACTAAATTAATAAATGCTTGTAGAAGATGCTGACCTGACTTGAAGACTGTTGCCCTTAGTTCCAAGGATCAGTGGATGGTATATGGTATGTATGGTATAGCTTAGGAATGTTAAATTCATTCCCTCAATATATTCCACTGCACTGTGGATAACAAATCTCCAAGATATTTTCATATGAAGCTCATTGGCAGTGTTCCAGAATTTACTCGTCCATGTTGGGTGCATGCAGATACCCATCAGAGAATAAGATCAAATTAAATACACATGACCATTGTATAGGTAGATCTGTCTTTCTCCCTCAAGGAAAGTTTTTCCACTATGACACTGAAATAATTTTCAATTCTAAATAATGATGAAACAGCTACAATTAGTATATTAAAGGCCAATTTTATTTCATAATTTGCACCAGATCCAGAGTTAATAATTTTGTGATAGTAATGAGTTTTGCTAAGTGTTCATCTCAAAAGCAGAATTCAGATTTCTTGCTTCCCTTTCTGGATAAAAATTCTCCAAACAAAAGTCCTGATGCAGAGATTTACAAAATTCATATAACCCTTCACTGTCGATACAACTTATGTTGGCCAGGCATAAAAAGACAGACCAATTAAAACTTTATAACAGAAAATTGTATAGACTTGAAGGACCAGATTCAAAGAACCTCTGACAATTCCATGATACGGAATATTTCCACCATTAAAGCTTTTCTTTCTCAAGTAAGCGGTCAACTCTCTATCTCCCTCATCCCTGCCTTTCCTTCCCCACCTTCAGGGACATATGCAGAGTCAGACATTTTTTTCCTCCAAGATATTTCGCAGTCTGCAAATTGAAAAAGAAAATAATACTTTGCAAACCAGATTGATCCCTGACTCACTGATGAACATATATTTGAACAAAGGACTCACATGCCAAAAATAATAATAGCTAACATTTATATAAGACCTATTTTTGTGCCAGGCACTGAGAACATTCATAATTAACTCTTGCAGTATCTTGGCTCTCAGTGTGGCATATCACAAATGTACCTATCTTACTGTGTATCATTAATTACTAACTTCTCTCATAAGAAGGAAGAAGAAGGCTTGTTTAAAGAGCTTAGAGATCCTTAAATAAAATTTACCAAGAAAAATATCTCATATAGCAGATTACACGGTTTTATACCTACTTATTAATAGATTATCCCCATTTAGATAAAAGTTTAGTTACTATTCTGGAGGAAAACTTTTTTAATCTGCTAGCCATGGACTGTCAGTACAATAAACTTTATAGATGTGGCAAGAAAGGGAAAGAAACATGATAATAGATATTATTCTAAATCCATTATCTCCAAAAATAAGTTTGATTTTCTAAGTAATAGTGCTGTATACAACTTAGATGTACCACAAATCTGGGGTTTTGTGGGTGGGGAACTTTATCCACCAAGCCAGGTGCAGCTTAAAAAATTCATTTACATTTTGCATATTATTTACTCAGCATTAACTTTGATCTCATTTAATTTAACCTTGAGACACTACACAGCTAATAATCTGAATCATTTCAAGTTTGTCTCACGTAGAAGCAGGAAAAATGAGCAGACTCAATATAAATGAGTGAGGTAAATGCACCATATCACAAGACCTAAAAAAATACAAATCGTCTCTATACTTAAGAGAAATCTCCAAATCACAGTTTAGATGGAATTCTCTGATTCCAATTATTCCTGAAATATAAAACATTAAACCCATTCATTGAACACTATGGCAAATTTTGTGCTGATGTTCTCAGATCTTACTTAATTAGTGGTAATGAGTTTAAAGATTTTGACCATTTTGCCATGTTGTAAAATAGCCTATAGCTTAGTTGAACCTATCTGGATCTCATTTCCATCACTTTTACTACTTAAGCTGCTTTACTTCTCAATTTTGAAAAATCTCTAAATTACTTATTATATGTCAGCATCACATAGGAGATTTTACAACATATAACACATTAAAGTATATTTCACCAGTATGCCTTATATCCTTACTAGAATAAAGTCTAATCAGGGGTGTGTGTACCTTTTACATATATTATTCATCTTTAAAAACACAACTTTCACAAAATTATTGCATCAGGTTAAAACCTTTAAGCTGATTTTCTAATAACACTACCAGTTCCTAATGAGTTTGTGCACAGCATGGAGAAGACATTTGGAAAGGAATGGCTATTTCTGCTTGGCCTCAATAGGCAGAACAATGAGAAAAACAGATTCTGGCTTGTTATAAGGAAAAACATAACAATTAAAATTATCCAAAAGTGGAACGGACAGTCTGAATTAGAGGGCAACCCCTCACTAGACATCTTCAAAGACTGAATGACATGTGGCCCTACCCTCTACTATTTGACCTTGGACAAATCTTCAGTTCTATGGACATGTTTTCTCATCTATAAAATATGGGGATTGGACCAGAAGACCTCCAAGATCTCCTATATCTCTTAAATCTATGGTCTTATCGTACTACCTATTGGATATTTTGTAGAAAGAATTCCTTTTAGATATAAATTAGATTAGATAGTTTTTGAGACCCCTTTTGACACTGAGATTCTGTGATCAGCACATTTATCTAGAAATACAATTATCTATCAGTAATCCATGGATCAGATCAGAGTAGTAGCAGATAATTCTCAAATCATTTCTATTTGGTTTTGAAATGTGATTTTGTAGTTACAGTTAAATATGGATAAATCAGATATTTTGGCAATTAATTTCATTTCAAACTAAATAATGAAAATATACAAAATCATCCCTACACTCTAAGCCTTAAACTTTCTTGAGTATTTACAACCTTTCCACGAATGAATGAGAATGAGAAAGAGGTGGCCATCCTTATACCCAGATCTTCTAATAAAAAAGAGCAAAGAGCAAAGCCCAGCTTTAAATCTTCAGTTTAGGAAGGAGCCAGAACTACAGAAAAAATGGCAATAATCACTTGTGAATAAGCACACACCACTAATTCGTTCTCACTAATCAGTCTGAATTTTCTAATGATTAACATTGCGATAGCTCTGGCTACCCTGCTTTGTCAACTTCTAATCAATTAATGAAGGACCTTTCACACTTCTAATGTGGACATTAAATGAAAAAATTAATTGGTTCTTATCTATCCTAGCGTAGCTGGTTGGCAGTTGTTAATAAAATCAGGTTTATGGCTCAAGACACAATTCTTCTACTACTGGATAGTTTATATGCTGACCAATGAACTACCAGCAGATGGACCAAACATAAACACCAAAATACATTATTGCGTTCCATTTTTTATTCCCTTCGGAAACAGAACATTTTTGACAAAATTTGCTTTCACAAGTATGCCATATAGTTTTATTAATTCCTGCCAAGCTAAAATGCCATCAAAAATACAAAAGAGTCAGACATAAAATGGTCACTTAGAAGCTTTAAAGGGAGCAGTAAGGAAAAAATGAAAATATAGTCTTCACACACTATTTACACATTCGTTACAGGCCAGCGCAATAAAAGCTTTCCGAACATTGGCAAGGAAAGCTGAAAATTTGTTGGTCTTCCTTATTTTCTCTTGAAATTCTGCCAAGCATTCCAGATGAGGAGCACTATCTGATACTAAGGAGAAAAAAAAATGGAGAGAGTTAATAATGTAAAGTCAGCAGATCACGAACTCAGAACTGGAAAGAATCTCAGAGGCCATTTGGTCTGACCGTTTCATGTTACAGATGAGAAAACTGAAGCCCACAAGGCTGAGGAACTTGTCCAATATCACAGAAGTAATATTTTTTTGTACCTTCAACGAGGGATCATTTCAAAACCAGAGGCTTACTCTAAGAATAGTTTATTCTATTGCTGCTGCAGATTCTACCTCAAGGAATCAGGGATGGTACACGGGAATATTTTTTAACCCCCTTCCTGTCCATCTTTCCCATTATTATAGAAAAGATTTCATAAAAAAAAAGTTGGTCCATTATTGAAGAACTATATAGAACTTTCAATCTTATGAAATTTTAATGTTGCTGTCCTATAATTCTGGTAAAAGTCAAACAAGGAGAACTTGTAGAAAACAATGACTTGGTATTGTTTACATAAGCATCATTTAGCAGGAGGGAAGAGTAAAAAGGCTTTGGGGAAGTCACCCTCAAAACACTCCATCACAAATTCATGCAATGGTGAAGGATGCTGTTTCTTCTCTGGCTCTCCACCACATAAATGAAATACAAGTGGGATGGAGGAGGAGATAAAAGCCAGAAAGGATGTGCCTGGGATCCATTATGTCATTGGTCCAGAAATCCTAGATTATGTTTTGAATGGAACTGACACATTGAAAGACAGACTATGAAAATAATCTTCTGGAAGGCTAGAAACCACTTGGGAGAAGACTGCTTTGCTGCCAAATCTACTAACTAATCATGCAGAAAGGCAGCTGAGGTAACACTGCTCAAGAACCTATACAGCAGTATATGTTTTACAGCATCTCCATGGGGAAAATCTCAAAGAGCCAAAACTAAAGCTGACAGCAGGGACTTTCTTAAGAAAGTTTCAGGGGCACTGCCGTTATCAGGAGCTATAAAACCTTAGGTCCTACACCATCTATAGCTACGTTTACACAAAACAGAAACTGATATTCGTGACGATAATCATGAGATCATCAAGAAAGAGTTAAATATGTTAAGTGCATCCTGGTTAAGAAAGTGGTGAATTGTCACAGCAAGATAGGTTCATTTGATGAACTCAGTTGGTCTGATCGCAGATAAATGAAAGTCATATGATATAGAGAACTTTTAGAGAGAGATATGTTCTCATAGGATTTTAATACAAACAGATACATTTTAGTTCTGTATTTCAGTATCTTTTGGCCTTTCTCCGCTTTTATTTATGAATACTCCAGTACTACTATGAGGGTTCCTTCTGCTTTCTATTTAGACAAATGATATTCATAAGAATGAAAGTATAAATCATTCAACTTCTCATCAGTTTAGAAAAAAACCTTTCTTCCTTAACCACCGTGATTACTCAAATCGATTCAACATACATTTTGGAAGGCCTTCCTAAGTTAGAAAAGCTTGGGTCTGGCAACAAACTGGAGCAAGTCAACTAAGTAGGGAATGTTATGGAAGCCACCCTGCAGAAGAAATGGAAGACAGGAATAACAACTTGCTGGTGAGTCTGCCTGCCTCTAGTCTCTACCTACTCCAATCCATTCTCCATTTAGCTACTAAAGTCATTCTCCTAAAACACAGGTCAGATCATGTCATTCCCACCCTCCTCTCCCCCCACTCAATAAATTCCAGTGGCTTCTTATTGCCTCCAGAAGCAAACACAAAATACTCTGTTTGGTATTTCAAGTCCTTCAGAACTTGGTCCCCTCTTGCCTGGATTTCCAGTCTTCTTACATCTAACTCCCCAACACATATTCTTCAATCTGGTGACATCGGCCTACTAGCTGTTCTGTGAATAAGATATGACATCTCTCAGCTTCAGGCATTTTCTCTGGCTATCTCCCATGCCCCATTCTATCCCTTTAACTACTGGCCTCCCTGGCTCCCTTTAAATCCCAATTAAAAATACCATATCCACATTCTAGCCAGCATCTCAGAGGAGACTTTGGGCTACTTGGCAGCACTGAAAGATGCAAATTAGGGCTGTCCTATTACCTTTTTCACAGTGAGGATTTCCCTATAGAAAGTACAACCTTGAGACATCAAGCTGCTGGTTATTCAGCAACCTTCAAAACAAAAATATCTTTCTTGTTTCTTAAACTGCCAACTCATTGGCACTAGCAAAATTAACTCTTACTTTGATGTTCCACAAAGAAGGCCTTCTTTTAAAAAATATCATCCATTCTTTAAGAGTACTGATTCTCTTTATTGTTAATTTCACCCTATGGTGATGTTTCACAAAGTTAAAAAAGTTTCAAAGCTCTAGCTTGGACTATGAGTTTACAAGCATTATACATAAGTACTAATGTTCTAATGTTTGTTGAATTAAATTTATGGCTAAACTCAAAGGGATAACAGCCTCAGTTTGACCTGAAAACCACAAGAGCAAGTCTTTCTGTCTCATCCACAGACCTTGTACTTTATTTTATTTTTTTTTTTGGCAAGGCAATTAGAGTTAATTGACTGGCCCAGAGTAACACAGTTAGTAAGTGCCAAGCGTCTAAGGCCAGATTTGAAGTCAGGTCCTCCTGACTCAAGGGCCAGTGCTCTATCCACAGCACCACCTAGATGCCCCTGCGCTTTACCTTCTAATATGGATTACTACTCTCAGTAGAGAACTGCTTTCCCCCATTCCTACCCCAACGCTTTTGATCAGTCATTAAGAACTGACTAATATGACTATACACAGCTATTTCTAGCACTGGGTCTGGATTCAGGAAGACCTGAGTTCAAATGTGACCTCAGACACTTACTAGCTGTTTGACCTGGGCGAGTCACTTAACCCTTTTTGCCTCAATTTCCTTATCTTAAAATGAGCTGGTGAAGAAAAAGGCAAACCACTCCAGTTACCTTTGCCCAAAAAAACTCCAAATGGGATCATGAAGAGTTGGCCACAACTGAAAAATAACAACTGGAAAAGCATAATGAAACAAATATCCAAACAAGTATTATTTCCCTTCCAAATAGTATCTTTGATGATTATTCCATTAATTCTAACTCTATCATCCTATTGTAATAATTATTCTAACAATGACACGCTACTCAGATCGGTGGAATTCCGTTCTTGATCAGTGCTGTAGCTCATTTGGCTGTTTTGCAGTCCCTGAGGAGCCTGTGGTGTCAGGGGGTCATCAGCGTGAACGTTAATGTCTCAGAGGCTGCTGGCAGTGGAACAAGTAGCAAAGAGTACTCAACTAGGTGGCACAATCATGAAGCAAGGCAGGAGTATAAAAGAGTAAGGAGATGAAACTGACCTTGTCGTTCCACCCTCTATTACTTAAGCTGAGAGCCTGAAGACTTCTAGAAAATAACTAATGGTACTGGTGTTTTCTCAGAGCAGAGAAACCCCAAAGAAAGGGCTTTATCAGTGTGTTAACTGTGAGAGAGGGCAGGAGATGCAGAGATGTGTACATGTACATACATATAAACATGCAGTGTGTGCATACAGACATATGTATAGATGTCTATGTGTACATGTATGTATGTATACAGTGAATGAATACTTCCCCCATACACGTCTATATATTTGTACTCCCTGCCACCTAATGGGGAAGGGGGTCTTTGCCATTTCTATCCTCTCCATAGTGAATGTCACCCTGCATAGGACAGTTAATTGCACAAAGGGGCACATCATAGAGTCAGCTGACCTTTCCTCCACCAGAGTATGGTATCTAGAAAAGTGAAGGGAAAAAAAATAAAAAACCTCATTTATGAGACAAGGAGAGCCAGAGTAAACATGAGAATTAAGTAAGATGATTTCTCATTAGAATTCTAAGGATATTGCATATTCCTTTAAAATTAAACTTTTTAATATTAAAAATATGCCATTTTAATGCTCACTCCTTCATTCTCAGTTTTGTTCTTGAACTTCTATGGAGTTTGAAACTATGTCCCTTCTACTGCTAGCTCATGCTGCTCCCTAGGTACCTGGCTGAGGCGCTCACCCTGCCTCACTCAGGGTGTCCCCTGGAACAACCTACCACCCCCAAGCTTGCTCACCACCGACTATCCCTTTGCAAGGCCTGCCCCCTCCCCCTCTTCTCTCACTGGTGAGCTCTTCCTGGAGCCTTCATTTTGTGAAGCCCCCAAGCCAACTCCCAGCTCGGCTCTTGACTTTTTCTGGATTTCAGAAGCATGTACCTTCCTACCATCTGTCCTACCTCTTGCGGGTTGTCTTCCCACGTTAGAATATAAACTCCTTTAGATCAAGGATTGTCTTTATTTTGCTTGTATTTGTATCCTCAGCAATTAGCACAGAATATAGTAAGCACTTAATAAATGCCTGTTTTTTTCCTTCCTTCCACTGTCCTTTCATCTAGAAATCCTCTGGAGGAATCATTTATGTTTGTGATCAAGGTACAGCAGGCCCTCTGGTACCCACTGTCACTCCTCAGGGTCAGCCCCTAGGCACTGGGCCACACTGTGACCTCCTAGTTGAGCAGGCTGCTAGGCAAGCAGTCAATATTTATTTAACTTTGCACTTAGGCCCCATGCATGGTGGGAAAGAAGAGCCAAAGCAAGCCAGACTGGAAGGAACAGTAACATCCTGTGGGAATCTTGTACCTCTTTTTTTTTATACTTTTAACCAAATGAGATTTTTTTTTTAAATTACCAATTAAGCAAAACATACGCACTTTCATAATCCCCTTCTTCATTTATGCGCAGGGAAAAAGTAAACGGCTTTTCAGGAGCTTTAGGGTCAATTTTTCGGAATATAAATTGAAGTTTCCCACCTGGAATTAAAAAAAGATTGAACTATTTAGTCCACTACTATAATATGCCAGGTTTTACAATTGACAACTCCTATCTACAAGGGTAAGAAAACTTTTATTCCCCTAGCTTCTCAAAAGATAGTCTATCCTGTTGGAAAAGTTTATTTCAAATTGTCTCGGGTTATTTTGAATTTAAAGATTCCTTTACATCAGATATCAAGTTGCTCTTCACAGCTGAAAGCACAATCAAGTGGCACTTTCAATTCCCTGAGGAAATTTAAAATGGTAGATTTCAAAGTATGATTTTATATACACATAGGTTCTGTTCAAAGCTATGCAAAAATAATTTTGAAAAAATTTGGCAGGAAATTCTACAAATCATTAAACACTGGATTCTTAGGTAGAGCCAAGATGGAAGAGAAAAGGCAGGAAACTTGCCCAAGTGCTCCCAAATTCCCCTCCTAACAACTTTAAATCATGCCTCAAAATAAATTCTGAAGCAGTAGAACCCACTAATCACATGGTGAAACGGTTTTCTAGCCCAAGATAACTTAGAAGGACTGCAGGAAAGGTCTGTCCCACTTGTGGTGTCCATGCACGCCAGCAGGAGGCCCTTAGCCCAAGTGCAAATCAGCAACCAAGGGCCCACAGCCCCAAAGGTTCAAGGCCAGAGGCACAGCAGGCCAAGGCAACAGGTGAGCAGCCAGGTCATGAGGCCACAGTGTGACCAGGTTCAGTGACTCCAGTACAGCAGGCTAGCTACCAATCCCAGATGCCCCAGTGTAGCAGGCGAGCATCCAGGCCCACAGACCCTGGCTTAAGAAGCTTGGAACACTGCCTCCTGCACCCTAGGAGCAAAGATCAACTTTAAAAATTACGAAATAGGCTGGAAAATGAGCAAAACGCTCCAGAAAACAAAACAAAACAAACCACAACAACAACAAAAAAAAAACCCTGACCATAGAAAGCTACTATGGTAACAGGGAAGTTTAAAACACAAACTCAGAAGAAGACAACAATGTCAAAATGCCTACTTGCGAAGCCTCAAAGACAAACATGAATTGGTCTCAGGCCCAAAAAGAACTGGAAGAGTTAAAAAAAATTTTTTAAGTCAAATAATAGAGATAAAAGAAAACTGGTAAAAGAAATGAGAGATAAAAGAATCATGGAAAAAAGAGTTAACTTGGTAAAGGAAACACAAAAAAAAAAATAGAAAAAGATGTACAAAAATCCATGAAGAAAACTGCTCCTTAAAAAATAGAATTGGCCAGGGGCAGTTAGATGGCGCAGTGGATAGAGCACCAGCCCTGGAGTCAGGAGGAGCTGAGTTCAAATCTGGCCTCAGACACATAACACTTTCTAGCTGTGTGACCCTGGGCAAGTCACTTAACCCCACTGCCTAACCAAAAAAAAAAAAAAAAAGAATTGGCCAAATGGAAAAGGAGATAAAAAAACTAATTGAAGAAAATATTTCCTTACAAATCAGAATTGGACCAGTGGAAGCTAATGATTCTATGAGACATCAAGAATCAATCAAAAAAAAAATCAAAAGAATGAAAAAATAGGAAAAAAATGTAAAACATCTCACTGGGAAAACAACTTACATGGAAAATAGATCCAGAAGAGATAATTTAAGAATTATTGGACTACCTGTAAGCCATGATCAAAAAAAAAAACCTGGACATCATCTATCAAGAAATTATCAAGGAAAACTGCCTTGATTATCCTAGAACCAGAAAGTAAGTCCACCAATTGCCTTCTGAAAGAGACCCCAAAATGAAAACTCCCAGTAACATCGTAAGCCAAATTCCAGAACTCCTAGGTCAAAGAGCAAATACTTCAAGCAGCCATTAAAAAACAATTCAAAAATTGAGGAGCCACAGTCAGGATTACACAGGACTTAGCAGCTTCTAAATTAAAGGATCAGAGGGCTTGGAATATAATATTCTGGAAGGCAAAGGAGCTTAGATTACAACTAAGAATCAACTACCCAGTAAAACCGAGCATAATCCTTCAAAGGGGAAAAAAATAGATATTCAATGAAATAGAGGACTTTCTTTCTCTTTTCTTTCTTTTTTTTTTTTTAGTTAGGCAATCAAGGTTAAGTGACTTGCCCAGGGTCACACAGATAGTAAGTGTCAAGTGTCTAAGCCCGGATTTGAACTCAGGTCCTCCTGACTCCAAGGTCAGATCACTATCCACTGTGCCACCTAGATGCCCCTGAAATAGAGGACTTTCAAACATTCCTGATGAAATGACCAGAGCTAAACAGAAAATTCAGTTTTCAAATATAAGACTCCAGAGAAGCATAAAAAGGTAAATAGGAAAGAGAAAACAAGTTATTCAATAAGGTTAAACTGTTTATATCCTTACATAGGGATACAACGTATAACTCATTCTTTTTGGTGAGGCAATCGTGGTTAAGTGACTTGCCCAGGGTCACATAGCTAGTAAGCTTCAAGCATCTGAGGCTAGATTTGAACTCAGGTCCTCCTGACTCCAAGGCCAGAGCTCTATCTACTATGCCATCTAGCTGCCCCTATAATGTATAACTCTTAAGGACTGTATCATCATTAGGGCAGTTAGGAGTATGCATAGACAGAGGGTGCATGGGTAAGTTCACTTTGATGGGATGATAAAAAAAAAAAATTAAGGGATGAGAAAGAGGATTACGCTGGGAGAAAAGGGAAGAGAGAGGTAGAATGGGGTAAATTATTTCATATTAAGAAGTATAAAAGACTTATTACAGTGGAAGGAAAGAAGGGAGCAGAGTGAACACTGCTTGAACCTTACTCTCATCAGATTTGACTCAAAGAGAGAATAAGACACACACTCGGTTGGGTATAGAAATCTATCTTACCCTATATGGAAGTGGGGGGGGACAAAAAAGGAGAGGCTAACAGAAGGGAGGGCAGATTGAGGGAAGTGATTGTCAGAAGCAAACACTGGTGAGGAGAGACAGAGTGAAAGGAGAGAGACATAGAGAGAGAAAGTATAAACAGGGGAAAAACAGAATGAAGAGAAATACACAGTAAATGTACCTGTCAATGTGAATGGAATGGATCACCCATAAAACAGAAGCAAATAGAAGAGTGTATTAAAAAACTTAAGAATCCTGTCAGATTTATGGAGAATGGAAGAATTTATGACCAAACAAGAGACAGAGAACATTATGAAATGCAAAATGGATAATTTTGATTACATTAAATGGATAAGTTTTTGCATAAATAAAGCTAACGCAACCAAGATTAGAAGGCAAGCAGAAAACTTGGAAAAAATTTTTACCACCAGTGTCTCTGATAAGGGCCTCATTTCTAAAGTACATAGAGAATTAAATCTAATTTGTAAGAATACAAGTCACTCCCCAATTGATAAACGGTCAAAGGATATGAACAGGCAGTTTTCAGATGAAGAAATCAAATCTACAGTCATAGGCAAAAAATGCTCTAAATCACTATTGATTAGAGAAATGCAAGTTAAAGCAACTTTGAGGTACCACCTCACACCTATCATATTGGATAATATGACAGAAAAGGAAAATGATAAATGTTGGAGGAGGTGTGGGAAAATTGGGACACTAATGAACTGTTGGTGGAATTGTGAACTGACCCAACCATTCTGGACAGCAATTTGGAACTATACCCCAAAGGGCAATCAAACTGCATAAATCCTTTGATCCAGCAATTCCACTACTAGGTCTGTAATCCAAAGAGAAAAAAAAAAGGGGGGGAAGGATCTATTTGTACAAAAATACTTATAGCAGCTCTTTGTGTGGTGGCAAAGAATTGGAAATTGAGGGGATGCCTATCAATTGCGGAATGGCTGAAGAAGTTGTGGTATATGACTGTAATGGGGTATAACTGTCGTATAAGAAATGATGAGCAGGTAGATTTCAGAAAAACCTGGAATGACTTCAATGAACTGATAAAAACTGAAGTAAGCAGAACCAGGAGAATATTATACACAGTAATAGCAATATCGTACAATGATCAACTCTGATTGACTTAGCTATTCTCAGCAATACAATGATCTGAGACAATTCCAAAGGACTAATGATAAAAAAAAAATGCTAACCTCGTTAGGAGAAAAAAAAACTGATTGAAGTATATGAATGCAGATTGAAGCATACTATTTTTCACTTTCTGTATTTTATTTTCATGTTTTGGTTTTTTTTCCCCATTTGGGTCTGTGTCTTCTTTTACAACATAACTACTATCTCAGGAGATGAAAGAGGAAGAAAGAAAATTTGGAACTCAAAATCTGTTTAAAATGAATGTTAAAAATTGTCTTTATATGTAACTTGGGGAAACTTTGCATGGAACATAGGGAAAAAAAAATACTATTTACCAAAAAAAGGGTTAATTTTTTCTTTTTTAAAATCCCAAGATTCTTTCAAAATGTTTTTGGCAACATTTCTATCATTTGGACTCAGCTTCATAATGGAAAAAAAAATGCTGCCAATAGAGCAAAACTTTAAAACTGGGCAATCTGTAGAGTCAAAACAAAGTAATAATGAAGAAAAAAATTAACAAAACGTCCAACTACATAAACTGAAATAGAAACATTTAATGGCTCTGGCAAGATTATGGTTTTAAAACTTATCAAAGTTTACAAAAGAGTGAGAGTTCAAGATTTCATTTGTAAAGGCCTTAAATTCTCATCTGTGTAACAAAGGATACTGACTTTTCCAATCTCATAAAAAAATCAATTTTACAATGTATTTAGAAGTCTGACATTAAAAATAAAAACTTACCATAAATTTTTCGAATTTCCAGTCCAAGGTGATCTTTATATAAATCGTAAGATTTCTGCAGCATTTTCAACTTTTCCTTATTGGCTTTGTTAGCAGTGGAAATAACTATTAATTTTAAAGAATAAACATCAAAAACTTTTTAAACAATACCCAACACACTTCCTGAAAAATCTAGTAGCAAGTAAATATATCAACAGGGACATGAATGAAAAGCCTACTTCTATCCATTCCATCTCTATTGCTACTCTTTGTTATGCAGAGGAAAAAACGGCATTTGCTCTAAAGTGGGTAGAAAAACTAAAGATAAGGAAGACATAAAGGTTGTGGTGGGAAGGAGTCATGTTTTAGTGGCTTATACTCCTTGAGATTATCTGTTACTACAATGAAAAGCAGAGTTCATTTCAAAGCAAACATTTGCTAAGTTCCTACTAGATGTAAGGCACTGTGCATCAATGTATAGCAGGAGATTCACATGAATATAGTCTTACTTCCTTTGAAATTATTTTGATCTGCTCACAGCTTGAAATAGCTATTCTATTGGATTTACTAGAAAACTACTGCACTAAGGCCATAATTATCTCCTAATAAAAAAGTCGGGTATGCTATTTTAGGATTTTACAAATGCCACAAAACTAAAGTGAGAGTTGGAAGACATGTGAAAATTAACAATTCAATTACTGACTGCCTACTTAAAAAAATACCCTCCTTCTACAAATATCTTGAGAATCAGTTATGTTGATGGTTAAACATAGGTTCCTTCCATCAAGTTTTTTTTTTAGAAAAAGCCACTATACATTGACAAATACACTGGCTTCAAACTCTCACTTAGTATGACTTATCCCAAGTTAATCTTACTTGTTGACATTTTTCTTAATTAAGTTCTCTTATTTTAACCAGAATCTGTTAATTCTAGTCCAGGAAGAATCAAAAAACAGATTAAGTTCCCACTGAAAAAACTGAATTACTTCCTTATCCCAGGGAAGAGAGAGATCAGCCCCTTTACAGACAAAAGCAGAACTTCCTTAGATTTTTCATCACTCTGAAAGACGATATACATTCCTATCAATAAAAGAGAGAGCAGTCTAACACTTTAAAACTTTTATTTACAAAGGAAGGTACTTACTTTCTTTTTTCTTATCCAGTGATTCCTTAAGATCCTGTATACTTTTTGTCAGCTTTTCCATTTCCCATTCCTTCTCTCGTATACTGTCAACCAGTTTTGATAAGTTATCTTGTTTTTCTTGAATAAGCTTATTTTGGATATGGATCTCTGTGACACACATATGTGCATATGTATTTATATATATAAATATATGTTTCTATATGTATATGTAATAATAATTATTATTAAATGATATTTGGTTATTTATTAAAGACCAAAGCAAGAAAGGAAGAGACCAGAAACTTTTTTAAAAGCTTTTAAGGTATTTATATAGAATAATCTATATTTAGGGATACATTCATAAAAAGGAAATAAAACACAAAGTACTAGAACTAAGGCTTCACGTACCTTGACAACTTTCACAGTGTTTTTACAAAAACACTTCTCCCCACCCCAGCTGATAAACCTATTCCCTTAGCCTGTAACTATAAAAGATTAAAAAAAAAAACTACTTTCTAAAAATTGATAGGAAAAATGATACTCCTTTCTAAAAAAAGTGAAATGAATAAGAGATGGCATAAAAACTTACATCATGATAGCTATAAAAGTTATTTTTAAATATACAGAAATCTATCTATATGAATATATAAACAAAGCTGCAAGCAAGAAATCAATAAACACTTATTAAGTGCTTACGTGGTACTGTATTAATTGCAGGGGTTACAAAGACAAAAAACAATCCCTACCATCAAGTAAATTATACACTAGTAGTGATGACAGCATGCAAACAACTATATACATGTAAGAGTCATATGGGACAGAAGGAAGGTAATATCAGAGAGAAGATACTAACATAAGGCAAATAAAGGAAGGCTTCTTGAAGAAGGTGAGATTTTATCTGAGACTTGAAGGGAGCCAGGTGAAGATGAGTGCATTCTAGGCTTGAAGGGCAGCTGGTAAATAGGCAGGGAGTCAGGAATCAAAGAGTTTCTTGTGGGAGGAACAGCAAGGATGCCAATATCAATGTACTGCAGAGTATGTGGAGAGGGTATAAAAAAACTGGAAAGGTAGGAGAGAGTCAAGTTATAAAAGGCTTTATAAGCCAAACAGAAGATTTTATATTTGATCCTAGAAGCAACAAAGTCACTGGAGTTTGCGGAATAGCAGGGATGGGGATGACACAGTCATACTTTCACATTAGAAAGAAGATCAGTTTGAAAGCAGAGCAGAGGATGGACTATTGCAGGCTATTGCAATAGTCCAGGCACGAGGTGATGAGAGCCTGTGCAAACGTGCGGCAGTAGTAGTGTCAGAGGAGAGAAGGGAACATGTAAAAGATGCTACAAAGGTAGAATCAATAGGATTTGGAAGTGGGGAGTGGGGGGGGGGAGAAGAGGAGATGAGAGATATCGAACAGTCAAAGACAATAACCAGTTCATAAGTCTAGGTGACTTGGAGGATGGTAATAAGGAAGTTTGGAAGAAGGGAGGGTTTAGGGGAAAAATAATGAATTCTTTATATATGTGTGTGTAATATTTTCCCCTGAACAGCTTATAGCCTCTACGTAGTATATCTGCATATGACAACTAGTCCCCTAGACCAAGGATTTTTAACCTAGGGTCCATAAACTTGTTTGTTTTTTTAAAATACATTTTATAACTATATTTCAACATAATTGGTTTCCTTTGTAAGCATATGTATTATCATATGCATTAAAACCACTATTCTTTAAAGGGATCAGTTAGCCTCACCAGATTGCCAATGAAGTCCATGACCAACAAAAAAGGTTAAGGGAAAAAAAAACTACCCTAGACCATATTTTGACTATTTTAACCCATTAGTTCCTGGTCTAAAACTTCATCTTGAAATCTCTTTGGGGATCTTGCAATCCAAAAGACTTTTATCCATCTAAATCTTGATGATCAGTATGAAAGGCCAAACCCAGTGATCTACAAATAAGACCACAAGAAAAGCTGTTTGACAAGACTAAAATTGTAGAAGAAATTTAGCAGAGAACAAAAGAGCAAAAGCAATTTAAACTAGTAATGGCACCACTCAGATTTATGAAGAGGTTTGAAAGACTACAGCTTCCTTAGGTTCCCATGACTACCATAGAAACAACCCTTAAAACATGCTGGGAGTTATGTTAGATGTCAATCACATACTATTTCTGAATTCCAGAAAAGTCTCAACCATTCGATCCTCCTCTTTTATCTTTGTGGATAATCTTTCTGTAAGAAAAAAATGAAATTTAAATCTCAATCAAATAATGTGACCATAAAATACAGTAGCACCCTTCAAGCTGCATAGAGTACCTGTCAATGCTTCAGTGGAGTCTTTATAGGTATCTCTCAGCCCCACCACTTGACTATAGTGTTCATTCAATGTAGTATTTCGGAATCTGTTCCAAAAGTCATTTATACTTTTATTAAATATGTCCAGTTCCTCTTCTGTCTTTATGTGAGACATCATGCTATAATAAAAAGGATACAGAAGAACTTGTTATTAATCATATTTTAAAAGTTAATGCAGACAAGTTAACTCATTGTTACAATGAGTGGTATTTTAGGGTACTGTAGAACTACTACAATATACAACTATCATAAGATTTATAAATTACTATGAGATATTCACTATGCATCACTAGGAACACGACTATTATACAGCAAGGCAATAGGATTCTATATTATAAAAACTTAACAGTTTTTATTTATCAGGAAGTTAAGGATTGAAGGCACACCCAAAGGTGTTAAACACTATCACCATAGTCGCCCATCTGCAGAGGTCTCATTTGGCAGCCCAAATCTTGGTTGCAAAGAAAACACCATTATTCTGTTGTTTCATTTTTCAGGTATGCCCAACTCTTCGTGACCCCATTTGGAGCTTTCTTAACAAAGACATTAGGAGTGGTTTGCCATTTCCTTGTCCAGCTCATTTTACAGTTGAGGAAATTGAGACAAACAGGATTAAGTGACTTGCCCAGGGTCACACAGCTAGTTAAGTGTCTGAGGTCAGGATTGAACTCAGGAAGATGAGTCTTCCCTGACTTCAGGCTCAGCACTCTATCTGATGTGCCACCTAGCTGCCCACTATGCTACTATTAGCCTAAAGCTAATTAACCAAAAGGATTTTCCATCCAATTGCCACATTTAGGCTACCATGGGTACTTTTTAGTTTAATTTGAGGAACATTTTGTGACTCTCTGTTGTTGTCTAAAGGTGATCTATGAAAATGGACTGGTACCAATAGTCCTGAGGATCACTAGCAGGGTAAAACAGTTCTGAACCTTTTCAAGAATAACAAAACCAAGCAGACTGCCTAGGAAATAAGGACTGAATCCTTAGTCTATAAACCCTGAAGGGTCTAGAAACGATTTTCTAAACTTAGATTGCCCTAAGTTCCTAACACTAGCTCCAGACTTGAAATAAAACCCAAGATTTCTAGAATCATTCTGGGGTTCAGAACATAAGTTGGGGAGCCCCTCATCAAGCATATTTGTGTGTGTACACATACGTATGTGTGTGTTTATGTACCCACAGTGAATTCATTATCTTTCTCCCTAAACCCTTCCCTATTACCGTCCTTCCAGTAACCTAGACTTAACAAGTCAACATATTTATTCTTTCACTAACACAAATGTTACTTGAGCACTTGTAACTATGCAACTTGCAACTATGTAATTATGCAACAAACCTCCTTATAAAACCAATCTACCAAACTCCAAATCAGGCAGCCATCAAACAAATACTAAAAAAAAAAAAAATGGTACAAGAGCCTATTGATAATTACAAGATTCAGACTAGATCAAATCCCATTTAATGGTCTTGATTTCCACATAGCCTGAAGTCACTATTAACCTTTTAATCTCCTACACCAAAAAACACTACTGCAACAGGTCTTGAACTGTCAGAATTTAGGTCTGGTGGATTGTCCTCAACCACTGAGATGCTTGGCACCAAGGGAAACAGTCTTCTGGAAAGTCTTCTCAGCTTTCAGAAGAAACCCTAAAATCCAACTTTTAAATTGCGGGTGAGGGAGATGAGGCTAGGCCCCTAGACACCTGTGTCCCATACTTTCTTCTCTCAGTCTTTGGGGTTCAGCTAGGCCCCTAGACACCTGTGTCCCATACTTTCTTCTCTCAGTCTTTGGGGTTCAACTAGCTCTGGCTTCTAGCCTTTCTCCCACCCCACCCCCCATTTCAAGAAATCCCATATAAAAATTCCTGAGATCTTGGGGACCCCAGCTCATCCCTCCCCCATTTTTAGAGGCAAAATAGAACCCTTGTTAAAAGGTCTCTAAGGAGGCCACGTGCCACAGAACACTACCAAATTAACAAGTATTTATTAATTGCCTACTGTGTGCTACACACTGTGCTAAATGCAGGGCATGAAAACAAAAGAAAAAACAGTGCCTGTCCACGAGGAGCTTGCAATTTGGGAAGCTGTGGGTAGGGCAATAAACATACAAACAACTACGTACTAAAAAGATGCATAGAGGTTAAATTGGCGGAATCTCAGAGGGAAGGCACTAACGTTAAGGAAAACCAGAAAAGGCAAGGATTCATTGCAAAGAAGGCTGGATCTGAAGAAGGAGGCCCTGGGCTTGAATACCAGCTCTGACAGTTACTACTATGTGACCTTGGACAAGTCATTGTTAAATAGGCCTCATCCTCTGGAGCTCCCCACTCCCCACCCCATCCCACCCCTACGGCCAGGCAGTTCCTACCCGGCGCAGCCCACGGACCTGGGATCCCCGACCCCGATCCTCCCGCTGGCCCAAAGACAACCGGGCCGCTTCGGGCTTTTGACCCGCGTGCCCGGGGCCCGACTTCCTCCCCGTTCTTTCTCACCAGCGGCGGCGAAGTGGAGAAGGGACGCTCCCGCCGCTGCCCCCGGACCCTCTGACCCGCTTCTTCTGCCAGACAGCACTTTAATCATAAACTATCAGCTGCAAACAACACAATTTTAAATGATGGTTGCCTCCCGCCTCCCGCCCCCGGAAGTATTGTTGAAGTTTGATTGGCTGGCGGCTCAAGTTCTCCGAGTAGCGATTGGTCGACAGCGTTCTCTGTGGTTCTCGTAAAGAACATGGGGAAGAAGGGCATTGTGGGATTTGTAGTTTTCTCCTCGATATTTTTTGAAAGCCGTATAGCGGTTTCAAAACTTCCGCTGGCATGTTGAACTTGAGCTCGGTTCTCTTGTGAAGGCTTCCCTGTCTTCTCCGATGCTGCCACTAGGATTTAGTTAAATGCATTTGTTCTACCACTTCATTCAAGTTTAAGCGGCCAGTTCTAATCACTTTTAAATAGTTTAAATAGTTTCATTGGAAGAGTTTGGCTTTGAAGCCAGAAGACCTGGGTCCGAATCCGGCCAGTGCCTTTGTTAAGCCTGGGACCTTGGATGCGTGGCTTCCCCATGGTGATCCGCGCCAACTGGGGCGGGGACGGGGCACTTAGGCTGCGCCCCGCGGGAGGAGCCTGGGTACCTAGAGAGGTGGGATGTGGTACCCCGAGACTGAGGGAGGAGGACCCAGGAGGGATGCTGAACCAGCAAGCGTTTGTTAAGCTCCTACTATGCGCCTGTGCACTGGACACACAAATGCAAAAGGGGGTGCCGCCCTCCTGGATCCTAAAATAGGAACGAAGGAACCTCGGAGGCCGACGTGGCCAAACTGCTCCTTTTACAGAGGAGGAAACTGAGGCATTGGGGGATTAAGTGCCTTGCCGCAAGTCACATGGGTAGTTGGGTATCAGAAGTCTTTTACTGTTCTTTCTTCTGTGGCACAAGGAGTAAATTCTATATCGCTGGAAGGAACCTTTAGGGATTCTTTACCTTTGTGCGTGGGTGTTGTGGACATCTTTCACAGTCTGGTGAAGCCTATGGACCCTTCCACAGAGTAATGTTTTTAAATGCATAAAATAAAATACAGACGATTACAGAGGAAACCAATTTGAAATAGCTACCAAAATATGAAAAAAAAAGTTTATACATCGCAGTTTAAGGATCCCTGCCTTAAGAAACTGTAATCCTAATAAGAGCTGACATTTATACAGCTCTTCAAGGTTTGCAAAATGCTTTGTATACACTTATATTTGATCAGGACAGCTAGGTGGTGAAGTGTACAGAACGTTGGACCTGGAGTCAAGAAGACCTGAGTTCAAATGTGACCTCAGACACTATCTGTGTGACCCTGGGCCAGTCACTTAACCCTGTTTGCCTCAGTTTCTTCATCTGTAACATGAGCTGGAGAAGGAAATGGTAAATCACTCCAGTTTCTTTGCCAAGAAAACCTCAAATGGGATCAAGAAGAGACAGACAGGAGTGAACGACGATATTTGATCAACCAGTCCAACCTCCTCCCATCTCTCAGATGGGGAAGTTGAGGCCCCAAATAGCAGGTGGTTTGCCGAAAGTCACAACAGGATAGAAAGTAACCCAGGAAGTGTAATAATAAAAATAATAATAACAATAGCTAATGCAGGCTAACACTTTTCCAGCCCTTACTATGTGCCAAGCAATGTGAAGCATTTACAATTATTATCATTTGAGCCTTACAATAACTCCATGAGCTAGGAGATATTATTATCTCCATTTTACAGTTGAGGAAACTAAAGCAAACAGGGATCAAGTGATTTGCCCAGGATCACACAGCTAAGTAAGTATGTGAAGCTGGATTTGAACTCTGTTCTTCCTAAGGCTCATTTAACAATGACTTGTTACAAGGTCACACAGATAGTAAATGTCAAAGCTGGTATTCAAACCCAGGGCCTCATTCTTCAGATCCAGCATTTTTTTTCCCAATTAATCCCTGCCTTTTCTGGTATTTCTTAACATTAGTGCCTTCTGTCTGAGCTTACTCCAATTTAACCTCTATATGTCTTTTTTTGTACATAGTTGTTTGCATGTTTCTTGCCCCACTCCCAACTCCCCAGGTTGCAAGCTCCTCCAGGGCAGACGCTGTTTTTTCCTTTTCTTTTCATCCCCAGCATTTATCACAGTGTGTGTGGAGAATAGTAGGTGATTAATAAATGCTTGTTGATTTGGTAGAGTTCTGCAGCATGTGGTCTTCAGGGTTGTGAGGCTCAAATGAGAGAATATTTGTGAAGCACTTTGCAAAGCTTAAGGTACTTTTTCAGTGCTAGCTATTATTATTGTCATCTGCAAGAGAATAGCAGTGTTACTTCAAGGGACAGAATGGTATAAAATGCTGGACTGGAAATGAGGAAGACCTGAGTTCAAATCCAGCTATTAGTTCTTTCTGGCTACATTAGCCAGCATAAATCACTTAGCTTTTGTATGTCTCAAGCCAATCTGTGGGATCTATCTACTAAATCTAGTATGAGTGATGATATGAATTTTCCAATCATACTTATCCTGGGTATTATTGTTAATGACCCTCCTTGGATGCAAATAATGTTTGGTAATATGATAAGGCCTGTTTATGCCCACCATGTGTCTCTCCATTATCATTGGAGTCAGCTATGATTTTGATCACAAAGAAATTACAGTGTTCCATAATTCACATACATAAAGTAACATGGAGAAGTGCTGTGTCATTTCCCACATGTGATCCAGGCCACCATCTTTCTTATCTTTAATTTTGGATTAACTTCATTATGTTGCCCATTCAAGCTGCAGTGCCTGTCCAAGATGTAAGTAGCGATTAACCAGCTCAAAGGGCAGTCTATTCAACTGCATTCTTCAACTGTTTGGATTTTCATGAGTGTATAGTTGGGTCAAACACTTTTCAGTCTCAATGAGGAGGCACTGTAGCATGCTAGGACAATATCATCCATCAACAGAAGCCTCTCGAGGACCCTACCATCTATAGGAAATTCCTCCTCTGTTTGAATTCTGCACTGTATATCCTTCATAGCAATAGTAAATATTTTTGGCAAGCATGTGTCTTCGTGTTTTCCATCTTTTGTTGTTGTTCAGTTGTGTCCAACTCTTCATGACCCCATATGGGATTTTGTTGTCAAAGATACTGCAGTAGTTTACCATTTCCCTCTGCAGCTAATTTTACAGATTAAGAAACTAAAGCAAACAGGGGTAAGTGACTTGCCCAGGGTCACAGCTGGTAACTGTCTGAGGTCAAATTTGTACTCAGGAAGATGAGTCTTCCTGACTTAGGCACTCTTTCCACTGCGCCACCTAGCCACCCTATTTCCTACCTTGCTCAATGTTAATTGAGCCAGCATATTGTAGTGAACAGAGTACTAGTCCTGGAGTCAAGAAAACCTGGATTTGAATCTAGCCTCTAAAACCTCCTAGCTATAATATGGTGGGCAAAGCATTTAACTTCACCCACAAGGCACATAAGGAATGTTTCCCTAGCAGCACATGAACCGGGTTTAGAGTTGAAAAGGAGGCAGGAGAGTGAGCTTTGGGTAAATTGCAAAACTATTACAGACTCCAAGCTTCCTCCCATGAAAGTAAAGACCCATCTTTTCCAATTTACTGATGTGTTGCTATATGGCAACAAAACATTCAGGCAAAAAAAAAAAAAGGTATTGCCTGCCCTTCCTAATAGTGCTATCTTTGAAGAAGTAAAAGTGAATATCACACATAGGACAATAGAAAGGGGAATGATGAGTGTGAGGAGGCCACAAAATTTAATCAGTTGAGGAACTCTGAACAGGAGTAAAGGGTATCACCAAAGTACTGTATGACTGGAAGAGAAAATGAGCTGGTTACTTAGCAAAAGCTAGGGATGATAAATGGTCAGCCCGAGTCCTCACTTGGTACTGTTGCAATGTCAAGAGAAGAAGAGAAAGGCCTTTAATAGCATGTTGGTTGGATCTCCGGTGTGAACTTCTGGGAGAACGTGAACAAGAGTCATACGGGATGGGCAGGGATAGATGAGTTGTAATTTGCATCATTGGAGAGACTTCTCAAATCGAGTCTTTCTGTTTCAAGTGTGTTTCTTGTACACAACATATTCTTGGATTCTGGTTTCTAATCTATTCTACTATCTGCTTCCATTTTATGGGTGAGCTCATCCCATTCACATTTGTAGTTATGATTACTGTGTATTTCCTTCTATCCCCTTGAAGAGGTAGACAATGTTTGGAGTTGGGTTGTGCAGAAAGAATTCAGGAGGTAGAGGTTCTCCTAGTTAAGAGGGCTTTATTGTCGTAAAAGTGGTGGGCTAGTCCTGGAGGAAGACTAACAACCTAGGATAAGACAGTGGCTTACTTTTATACCCAAGTTTTGGGCCCTCATCTAGGTATGGGGGACATGCTCCTACATAGGCAGGTAACCATAAGAAAGGATGTCAGGAAAGGGGAAGCAGGTGTGTTGAGTACTTTACAAAGCAGTTCAGTCATGTGGTCATAAAAGCGGGGAACTTAACTTGCAACATTCAAAGATATGGGCACAAACATTAGGGGTAAGTCACATACACAGAAAATAACAAGGTTTTCTTGTCAGCAGATAGAGCCCCCTGTTACTGGGCAGACAGAGATTTAGCAAGGCTCTCATTGTTGATGGGCAGAAGTCAGTCACATCACCATTATCTTCTGTTTCTCCCCCCCTTCCCCTTTATGCTGTCCCTCCTCAAAAGTTTTGCTTCTAGGCACTGCCTCCTTTAATCATCCTCCCCTTTATTATCCCTTCCCTTTTTATTATCCCTTTCCCCTCCCATTTCCCTATTGAGTAGGTTACATTTCTAGGCACAACTGAGTGTGCACATATATATTCTTCCCTCTTTGAGTCAATTCAGATGAGCACGATATTCAAGTATTGCCTGCCAATTTTTCTTCCATAAATTTTCCCCCCATTTTGCTTCTTCCTTTTCCCTTTTTCTAGGACATCTCTTTCTCCTCTCTTCATTTTTTTTGGAGATTATTCCAACATAATTGACTCCTACCTATGCCTTTTGTCTATGTAAATCACTTTTAACTACCCTAATGATAAAGTTCATAGGAGTTGCAAGTAACATCTTCCCATATGGGAACATAAGTTTAACTTTATTGAGTCTCTTATGATTACTCTTTCACATTTACCTT